CTTGATTTTATCCATAAGTACCATCATTATAAACTTGCATTGATGTCATCTTGTGCTAAAAATATCTTACATAATTGAGAGGTGGGAGGAATCCCAATCATCATGTTAGAACTCCGACTTACACTGTTTGTATATCTCGTCCTCAAAGAGTTAAAAATCAAAAAGATTAATAATCAAATTCAAGAAGCACTGGGGCATTCTAAAGTAAGGCTCATTCCTCTCATGAACCCAGAGGAGACTGGTAACTGTGTCTACCAATGTTTCATCCTAGTACCAGATACATGTAGGCAGTTAAATCTGCTTATGGTTTGGCTGTTAGGAGATATCAGTGCACAAACATCAAATACTCCTCTGGTCCCTAATTTGCAATTTGAAAAACTGGAAGGATGCTCACTATGTCCCATCCTTATTATTCTGTGTGATAGAGCGCTACAACTCTACCACTACAAATCTGATGCCAAAGGATTTTCTCTTTCATAACTTTATTAAATATTGACTACAGCTTGCTTTTCATGGGCATAGCTTTTTGGTTGGAAGGGATCCATCACACTCTACAGGAAGGTCAAAACTGTCCTAAACAGAGGCCAATGAGTCCAATTCATTCATCTTCTCATTTAGAAACAAAATGATCAAGGTCTCTTTCTCTAATCTATTATTTACTGCATGTCAATAAAAAGGTTGCGTTCAGTTAAAATTTTGCCACATACTCTCCAATATTGTACCTTTTTTTCAAAAAAACCACATTCATCTTCTCCCTCTGTCTGGAAAAAGAAAGCATTTTTTGACTCTGCACTTTCTTGCTGCTAGTCTTTCTCCATATCTTCAAATACACCAAATATCAGCTAATTTATTTTCACTCTGTCTTAAAGAAATATGCAACAAATATATTTTCTTTTTGTAGAGAGTTGGGGCTTTAGACACCAAATCTCATATTTTCCTCTCCATAGACAGAAATTTTAAAAAATAAAGATTTTACAGAATAAAGGCCAATAGGAACATATATAAGATTTAAAAAAAACATACTTCTACCAGTAATTTTTGCTGAAAGAGAGATCTAACAAATACTATAAAACTCAGCTATTAAAAATTATAAACTAAGCAAGAAACCCACTTAATACTAACATTTAGGTTTCTTTTGAAGGAAGGCAGTACCGAGATTAGTTATTTAAAGAATAATAAGTTGTATTCTGTGTAAGGTCGACTTAGGGAGAGGATGAGTTCAGAAAATATAACCAGAGTCCCACATCACATCTTCAAATAGACTGGAACTATAATATTCAAGGCCTATTTCAGAATAAAGATTTTAGCACTTCAAATATTCCAGGACATGATTTTAATAACAGATCTAAGCTATATTCCTTTGAACTATTGGTTGACAACATTATACCAAATTTTTTATACTTGACCATGAACTCTAACTCATGTAATCAAACAAAATCAGACCCTGGTGAGACAGACTCAGCAAGCGGTGTGAACCAGCAAGCCTCAATTTCCATTTTCCCTTTGCCTACATTTAATGAAATCATGCAAATGCCACACACAATTAGTTAGAACTGGGACTGCAATCCGATAGCTTGATGACAGAGTAAAATTAATTTGAAACAAAGAAAAATAGTAATTTGTAATAATCATGCCAACTTTTTCAACTATAGTCACTAAAGTGGATGGAATGCGTGCATGTTAGAGGCTCTGAGATCCATAATGCATTTCCAAGGAAACCATATTTCTCCTTTCGGGAGAGCCAAAGAGGTTATCTTTTCAGCACACAGGATTTTCACGACTTCATGAACTTAAAAGTTAAACTTGAAAAATATGGAAATTGCTAGAAATGGCTATAACAGGAACATGTGTTCCTTGGATTTCTATGTTATTTGTGTTTGTTCTGGCTACTCTTTAGGATATTTGAAGCCCTCAGGGTCCTCTACCAGTGGCAATAAAGGATAATTATGAGTGGGGGACATGTGCTGCCTCTCTTCTTTTCCCTCTGACCTGCAAAGACACTATTAACCAAGAAAAAAGTTCTCTATTTACTGAGCTGATGATGCAGGGTCTCTGAATCTTTCCTAACACCTTGGTCCAAGTAGATACCATTACTTTTCGAAGGAGGCACTTGAGGTAAAAGAGTAACTGTGTTGAATAAAGGATTGTCTTGCTGTGGCCTTGGTTTGCCCTTATGAGGGCTCCTTTTTTTGTATCCATAGCCAGCTATCTGTGGCTCCCTCTTCATATTCATGAGCAGTTATCTGCATTTTTACTCCAGTCCTACAATGAATGGAATTTTTGCACCTGAATTTTAATATTTGCTCTATCTAGGGGTAGGCAACTGTGGTCCAGGTCTGACCCATTCAAGAACTTCACAGGTTACTATAGCAAGCCAAAGTACACTCTCCCTCTATTCCATCATTGCAAAACTCATTCCCAATCTGATTACCAATGACACCTCTAGTTCTAAATCTACACTTCTCTGGTGATTTAGTGTAAAAAGGCAGACATTATAAACCAATGTCATCCTTAGTCTGCCAATGGCTAAGGACGAAGGACTATGCCTTGAAATAGAAAATCCTCCTCACTTCAAGTCTTCTACTATAACTAGCCCTGAAGAAGGCTAGCTCAGAGGCTGAGGAACTGTCTCTGGCAATGTTAGAGGAAAATGCTCCCTAAATTGCAGGCATTCCCTTCAAAAGAGACACTATTGAAAGAAACATTGAAATTCAAAGGTGGACTATGGCGTATTTGAGAACAAGGGCCTTACTACCTCAAGGTGCCCAGGTGTATGAGAAGGTATCAAGCCAAGGAACCAAGGAATGAAAGCATCAGCCAAAATAACACCTAATAAAGTCTTGCAGTGACTCCAGGTTTTGCTAGACACAGTTTTGGTAGTCAGACCAGACACTCTTTGGTAGGGGGGTGATTCTTATTTTGTTAAAATATTTTATTTATTATTTTTATTTTATGTGTATGAGTGTATTGCCTGCATGTATGTGAGTGCACCCGGGTCATGCAATGACGCGGAAGTCAGAAGAGGGCTTCGGATTCCCCAGGAACTGGAGTTAAGGATGGTTCGTAGCTGCCATGTGGGTGCTGGGAATCAAACCCGGGTCCTCTGCAAGAGCAGCCAGTGCTCTTAACGGCTGAGCCATCTGTCCAGCCCCGTCATTCTTATTTTGGTGATACTCCAGAATCCTTAAGTTTAAGTCCTGCCCAATTGTATTTCTCTGAATTCTGGGATGTTAATCCAGTCACTCTTTTAGGCTCAGCCAAAACAGCATTGTTTTATAATAGAAAAGGTTAGAAGGAGCATCTATCTTTGACCAGAGAAGAATAGTGTAAGTTTCTATTGAGCAACCAGTACCTCAGACACTGTGTAAATCAAAAACACAAGGTGAAGAACTCTAGGCTCATACAGTGATAGAACCCAGCCAGTGTGACGCACAACCTAGTGATCATCTACTCTAGTGAGACCCAAGCTCTTACTTTATCCTGACTCCATGCTTTCAAGACTTCAGCTTTTCACCTATCTTGTGATGGTGTCGAGAGAAAAGATGGGGTAGGAATGAGGCATGCCCTGGGCAGCCTGCCTTGGGACATGGGGTGCACTAACACCCAAGACGAAGAATGTATGTGATGGACTTGATGAGGAACCTTACACACAACGTAAATATTTACCTGATCATAGGCACTTCCATATTGCTCTCAAAATTCTGAATTCAGGACTTGGCAAGTAAAAAAGAAAATAATTGGAAAGCCAAGATGGTGGCACAGCCAAAACCACGGTGGTGATGAGGACTCTCGGCACAATGACTTAAACTATGACTCTGGGCCTATTCATTTTATTAAGAATCTTGATGCTTCTATATTGAGCTCAAAATTCTGAACTCAGAATTTGGCAAATAAGAGGGAAAATAACTGGGGAGCCAAGATGGCGTAGCCACACCCACCTGGCCACCCACACATAGCAGAGCCTGGTCAACCATGTGCACCTTTGAGGCAGAGTCATGCCAACATGGCCACCAACACGCACCATTGGCACCCATGGTTGACTGACCATCATCATTACCCAGTGGCTGTCAAGACCTGGCTTCAGTCCTCAACAACATTAGGAATCTAAAAAGACTATACATTACAGAAAATAAGCTAGAGGACATTGGTGTAAAGCTGTCATGAAGCTGTGAAACTTTCTGTCATTCAAAGAATCTTGGATTGGAGGCCTGTGAGCTAATTGCAATTGCTGCCTGTTGTGAGCACCTACCTCTTCTTTTACCCACAGTAAAACCCTATGGGAAATCAATCCATTGGAAAATGCCTTTGTCCACAGTGGGGTCATTGTGCTGAGTGAGGCCCAGAAACAGTAAAAGTATAACCTTCATGTAAGGACTGTGAACAACTGACTTTGATGAGGAAAGCCAAGTGTTTCCAATCTCTGAGAAAAAGAGAAATTTCTACTAGACATTCTTAAGCAGCGTGTAAGAGAAACAGAAATTAAGAGTGAAAATCCCATTCCAAGAAACCCGAGTGTATTCTGACCCAAAATCACATACAAAGGAAAAGGAGTGGACCCTTACTTTAGCACACCTCTGTGTAAGAATTACAGATCACTGACACTCTGATGAGCTGATTTCTCTGGCACCCAGCTCAGAGGTGTTGTATAAGATGATTGGGGTTTTTCATTTGTTAAAAGAAGTCATGAAGTCGGGTGGAGGGGGCTCAAGTTTTTATGAGGGAATGATAAAAGGAGATGGGGACAAGCAGAAACAGTTTGGTAGGTGCTTTGGTGGGCTTCTGCAGGAGGGTCAGGGGTCTGAATTATCAGCAAGCCATTGTATAAAATTCTTAATAAAATTTCTCTTAAACTTTAAAATAATAAAACAACAAAAAAGGCCAGATACTAGGAACCAATGAGTATGTCTCTAATGATCAAAATCTTAACTGAGATGAATTCTCAGACAAGCTCAGAGATGCTCAGGCATGTATGATAGGTACAAACATAAAACAATAGCTATCTCACTTCTCAGCCTTTTATCTAAAGTCAAGGGTAGTTTCTGTTCTCATCAAATTAATTGCTGATAGGTTCTCTACTCAAAAACAATATACTAAATGGGTTTTTAGAAATAGGTGATGGAATAGGCACTTGCTCCATCTATTCTTCGTATCATGATGTTTCTGGAATTCTTGGAGGTATCATAGTACCTCCAAGAATGCTGTGCCCTCTCTTGGGAGGGAGGAACATGACCTGCTAAAAAAATAAATAAATAAAAGAATATCTTACAATAGTTTATCTGTCTTTATTTGCACTTGAACTGAAATCACTGATTTACCATGAACTAACTCTGTGAGCTTCATCAAGTTGTTTGGATTCAATGAGTTTTAGTTAAACAATGGTAAAATGGAAATAAAAATACAGGAAGGTTGCTGGGAAGGTTAAAGATAGCATCTGTTAAGTGCTGATCATGTGGCAAACACACTCATATTGATAACTATCACTATAATCTCCTGCATATGAACATATTTAAAGCAGCTGGTGAGATGGCTCAGCAGTTTTGACCACTGGCTGCTCTTGCAATGAGTCTGTAACTCCTGTTTCAGCAGATCCAACACCCTCTTCTGGCCTTGGTGGGCACTACATGAATGTGGTGCATTTGCATACATGTAGGTAAAACACTGATATACTAAGTTTTTTAATGAAAAATAAAACAACTGAAGCAAAATGTTTATCATACTGTAGGCATTCAAATAGATGATTAGATGTAGGCATTCAAATAGAGAAACAAGAGTGTATAAATGAGCCAGTCAGAGTTGTTACTGCAAGTAAGGGAATAATTAAATGAGACCAATTTATTAGACAGTCAGCCTGCTCCAATATTAGCATCACTCTTTACTACACCTTGTTTCTGTGATGTTTCCAGAATTCAACAGAACACAACTATCTTGACTAAATGTGTGGCTGGGGCAAACCCAACCCCATAAATCACAATGCTTGTGGTTGAACTCAATGTACAGTATGTATTTGAGTGAAATGTGTATGTATTTTCTGCAAATTTCTGACTACTGACCTTTTCAGGGTATCTCAGAATGGAAGTCATATCTTCACCTCAATAATTCCCTATTCTCATTATATGAAAAAACAATATCCCTTAAACACAAAATCTGGTTTGTAATAACATCAACTTGCTCTGCAGGCTCCTATAAAGAAGACCGTTTTGAGAGCAATTCTTATCCATGTGCTCTCTGCCATGATGTCCAGCCTAGCCTTGAGCTCATAGTGATAAAACAAATGAATCATGGCCTAAAATCCCTCACTCAATGAATCAGAATAAACTTTTCTTGTTTAGGTTGATTTTCTTTGATATTTTAACACAGAAATAGAAAGTTGATTGAGACAATACTCACATATTCACAGCCAATGACAGAAACAGATGCTGAAGCCATACTGGCTTCCCAAGATCCCCAGTGTATTTACCTTGTTGATCAGTGACAGTAACTGGCTTGGTAGGGGTGAGGATATTCCAACGAGACATGTGTGTCCCTCTTTTTGGCTACTGGGCTATTGAAACAATACACTTCAAAAAAACGGAATTCTCTAAGAATATCAAGCTTGGAGACGAAAAAGGCTAAAGCCTGGGCCAGTCAGAGGGTAACTTGTCTCCAAGAAATAAATTTACAACTTATCAGACAATCTTGAAGGAGAGCCTGGAATGGAGACAATGTTGGGCCAAGGACAGTGGGATCACACTGTGGTCAGTATCCAGGGCCCTAGAGATGGACTGAATCACTGGATCACTTTGTCCCTCTTCGCAATGTGACCACATTGAATAAATACCGTTTTCTCCTCTCAATATTTTGTTCATTTATTGGCTTATCAAAGATGACTGGTGAACCAGTTTTATTGGGGCTGTCAAGATGCTTCCTCTGACCCTTGATAATCTAATAACATGACTAGAAGAGCAAGAAGCACCACTATAGAGCAATATGCACTTTTAACAGAGGTAGATATTTTGACTGCTTAGAGTCTTTCCTATAGGACTGCAGTGACTACTTTCTATCTTACTTTGAAACTCTTAAGAGTTGTGAAGTCCAGGAACTCCCCAATTCTAAGAGAAGTACAAAAAAAGGGGTACTTTGGAGGCATAGCATGGGCTGAGGCCAGGATACAGTGGTCAGTATACCTGGGCATCTGGAAGAGATCACACACTTTTTTCTCCGTTCGCTCTCTCTTTAAATATACAGGATTTTTTAGTTGCATGATATTCTCTCTAACAAAATATGTTTCTGTATGTGCGTATATATACATACACAATCAACACATTATATAAGCACTCATAGCAAAGACCACATTGTCCATATTTTCATTAGCAATTGTTAGAGAATATAAGTTTGGACATGTTCCCTCCCACAGAAAAGAAATCATACCAAACGAAAGTGAACTTAAAGCCTATATTTTAAAGACAGCAGGACTAGGGATGTAGCAGAGTGGTTCGAGGCCCAGTACTACAAAAGAAAAAAATCCAAGCTATGTATATAAGTGTCTGTGAAGTGTTCTGTTGTCTCCGATTATGATACACCTGCACTCTTTTTTCAATATTGACAAATAGAACCTTTATGTGGAGATAAATGAACAAGTATTAACCTTGCAATGATCAACAATTTACAACCATATTTTTATTTTATGACATTAAAATACAACACAAAGTGAAAATCCTGCTTCAAAATTTATATGCTGTTATCCTAGTGATATCAAACATAAAAGGAAATGAGAAAGATATCTTTTACACAATGACTGAATGCTAAGTATGAATTTATTTTCATTTGTCATTAATGTGAAAATTATACTTACACTCATGCTACATTTTCTGGACAATATTAAGGGAAAAAATTGGGCACAATATTTTTCCTAAATGTAGATACACATTGGTACTTAGATATATTTTTGAAAGAAACATATAATAAAATGCTTGAGATTTCTAAGTAAATGTGAGAATTTGCTTACTTGGGAAAAAGTTCATTTACATGTATTATAGAAAATTCACTGTTTGTGCTTTTTAACCAAATTCAGAGATTAATCAATATCACTTGATGTATCGAAAACAATGAAAGTGCCATAAAAATCAGTCTGAAAAAAAATGGGAATAATTGGAAAATACTTAGATGCAAACCAGTAATCCCAGTACTCTGGAGGCTGAAGCAGGAAGACCCCATCATTGAGAACAGACTAGGCTCCATAGTAACTTGGGAAAGCAAAACCCAAAACAAGATTCTGAATTGAACAGTGAGCTAGTTCATTTATTTTACCATTTTTCAGAAGGATAATTACACACACATATTTTGTGAAGACATGGCGACTATGTGCTTGTTTTTGTCTTGCTCAGTTTTTAAAAACCAGTGAGTCCTTTTTGGTATAGTTTAGAAATACAATGCCTAATCCTATGAAATACAATGGCCCTGAGCCCATGCAGTGATGGAATCTTCAGGAGGTGGGGTCTACTTAGAGGAAGTATACCTCTGAAGGGGATACTAGGATCCTGGAGCCTTCTAGCTGGTCTCTCCCTCTCTTCCAAGCCACCATGAAGTGAGCAGACCTCCTCTGCCGAGTTTTCTGCTATGAGATACTGTGTTGCCAAAGGGCAAACAACAGTGAACTGACCTTAGATGGAAACCCTCTGAAATGATGAACCAAAATAAATAAGCATTTCCTTTTTCTTTTATTTGGGGGGGGGGTCTTTATGAGACAGGGTCTCCCTGTAGCTCCAGCTGCCTAGAACTAGCTCCTTAGACCAGGCCGGCCTCAAACTCACAGAGATCCGCCTGCCTCTGCCTCCCAAGTGCTGGGATTAAAGGCATGTGCCACCACGCCAGGCTCTTTTTCATTTTTTAAAGCAGGGTCTTGCTATGTGGAGCATCAAGGTCTTCCTGTCAGCCTCCTGAGGGCTGGAGTTCCAGATGTGTAAAGCCAAGCCCACCTCCTTTCCTCCATATATGCAAGGGTTCCTAAGAAACAACCTTCGCAAGCACTACTCATTTATTTAAGTAAGTCATTTTCCTTAGAAGAAGGTGATATTGCTGAGAGAGGGAGGAACACAGATGCTACAAAGTTTATGAAGATGCTCTGAGGAGCAAGGCAGGTTGAGGGGAAGAGGACAGGCATGTCCATTCTAAACGGAAGTCGCCCTTCAACACCAAGCAGTTGTTTTCACACAAGAATGAACGTCCGTTCTTTCCTGGCTTTCTGGAGGTTTTCGTTTATTTAGTTTTTCAAAAGAAAAGTGCAATTAGGTCTTTAAAGAGAAATCTCCCAGGGCTGGAGAGGTGGCTCAGCGGTTAAGAGCATGGCTGCTCTTGCAGAAGACCCGGTTGGATTTCCAGCACTCACATGGCGGCCAAAACAGTCCATAACTCCAGTTCCAGGGGATCCTATACCTTCTTCTGACCTCTGGGGGCACTGTATGACACGAGTGCATTTACAAACATGCAAGCAATACATTCATACACTAAAAAATAAATAAAATTTAAAAGAAAGAGAAGTCTCCCAAACTCCAAATGCTGGTCATAAGTTCACAGCCTGATATTGTGCAGGTAAACCGAGGTGTTTGAAGATGGGCCAGAAGTAAGGAGCTGAGTACAGGAGCTGGCGTTCACACAAGTGGTGGGTAAGATGGAGCCCTAGGACATCCTGCACATTAATGCAGACGTGTTGGGAGAGCAGTCAACTAAGCTGGGAAGCAGACCTAGAAAACTCAACCTGAAACAAACATAGAGGGTCTGAAAGGCTTAGCCAGAAGCTGCCCTGTAAAGACACCATAGGTGACCACAGTCTGCTGCAGTGGAGTGAGTGATTCCCGGACACCTGGGAATCCTCTATCTGTTGTCCAATTTGGCTGCAATAGACCACACTCCTCTTCTGCTTCAGAGTTTTACCCAGTTCCTCCTAATGACAATCTCGGATCAAAACCACAAAGAGAATCCCAGGGTATGTGTTTCTTCCTTTGACCTCTGCAGACAGGTAGGAGAGATGCCAGATTCACAGCAGAAAGTGCCAGCATTGCGGCACAGATCATCAAAATGTGCCAACGTGGCCTGCAGGCACCAGGGCATAATCTCCAACTGCAGAATCACTGCAGAAATCATCTCAACAAAGCCATTTTCCCAGTCGACTAAAAGAAATAAACAGTGCACTTACGATGCTGTCACTGGCAACACA